AATCAGGGATACTTTAGTAGTGAGTGCCACATGATTTATACACCACTAACCTGAATCTGCTCACGTAGCCCTTGCAATAAACTTAAGGGGTAAGATTTTTTATTTCACTGAGGCTCAGAGAGGGGACATCACTTTGCTCAAGTCACAGAGCAGGTTGGTGGCAGACCCAGGTTTTGAACTAGGTCTCCTGGTATCTTTGGGGGAGAGGGATAGATTTTTGATTACTTTATGCTCTTTTTGACAGTGCAAATGTTGGTAGTAGAGATTTGCCTAGAAAATTGTCCAGGTTTTGAAAAATTTTGATGCAAGATCACACATAAAATTTACGTATAATTTTAAGTCTCTGGAATTTTTCTCTTGTGTCTTTGTTTCTAATTAGGAATTGCTATAAGCTTTGTCTATTTGATTTTTTTTTTAAAGATTTGTTTTTATTTATTTATTTGAGACAGAGAGAATGAGAGAGAGCGAGCACATGAGAGGGGGGAGGGTCAGAGGCAGAAGCAGGCTCCCTGCCGAGCAGGGAGCCCGACGCGGGACTCGATCCAGGGACTCCAGGATCATGACCTGAGCCGAAGGCAGTCGCTTAACCAACTGAGCCACCCAGGCGCCCTATTTGATTTTTTTTAAAACATGTTTTGTTGATTCACTTAAAGTAAATCTACTTCATTCATTTCTGCTTGAATCTTTGTGGATTCTTTTCTTCTTTCTCTTTCCAAGGTTTTCTAATTACTGTGTTTTCTCTTGCTACCTCTTGCTTTTCTAGCATTTTGTTGGATTAATCAAATTTTCTTTGTTTTTTTTTTTTCTTTCATGGTTTGTCAGTTTTGTCTTCTTTCTATCCTTGTTAGTATTTATCTTCAAACTGAAAGGTATATTTTAATCGTGTATTTTTCTGCTATACCTGAAGTTGCAAAACACTCATGTCCTTTCCTTAAACAAGACGAAACTCCCAGCAACTTTTGGTTCCTTCTGTCCCTCTTAGAGCTCTCTTCCTTACTGAGATCACTTTGGATTTTAGAGCTAGGCTGTTATTAAATCATATTACTCTTTCTTTGCTCATAACTGCTTCTCATAGTTAATATATTTCTTCTGCATCCTTCATTTATTTTGCTGGAGTACATCCTGCAGTGATTCTTTCAGAAAAGGTGACTGGTAAGCTTTCCGAGTTCCTGTGCATCTGAAAATGTCTTTATCTTGCCTTTGACTTTGAAGGAGAGCTTGCCTGGGTGTGGAATTCTGGGTGCTCGATATTTCCCCTCCAAAATTCGAAACCAGTGTGTTTCTTGATGAATCTGGTGCTGCTGATGAGAACTCTAATTTCAGTTTATTGTAGGTAATCTGCATTACTTTCCTCTCTACAGCATTTGGTATTTTGTCTCCATCCTGAGGGTTCTGACATTTCAGCATGATATGTCTGTTTGTGTTCATCTGGTTTAACACTCAGTGGGCTCTTTTGGATTAAGAAATCATGTCTTTCTCCAACTCTCTTTATTCTTTCTTCAAGTACGTACTTCCCTTGGCTCTCCCCGATCCCCCATTCCAGAGCTACTAGTAGACATATGTTGGCACGTGGTCTGTCCTCTGGGTCTCTCACCTCTCTCCCCCTGCCCCCCCCCCACATTTCCCACCTCCTTTTCCCCCTGCAGTGCATCCTTGGAAAGTTCATGGCTCGGATTTCCGGCTCATCCGCTAACTCTCTAGCTGTGTCTATTCTGATTTTTCAGCCCATCTGTTGCGCTTTTGGTTTTTACAGTCGTACGTTTCATTTCCAAGAGATCTCATTTTTTCCATTTCATAATATTTTTTACAAGGGCACAATTCTCTTATCTCTTTGAGGACATTAATTATGTTTTAAAAAATTGTCTTCATCGGTTTGCTTTATTATCTTTTTCTGAGGTGTGATTTATTGTCTGTTGAGTTGGTGCTTTTCTTTCATGGTGTTGGCCTTTTTTTTCTCGAATACTTTGAAATTCTTGGTATTTGGGGATTTCCACTGGCTCTTCTCTGCTTTACTATTTATTGCTGCTTTGCCTCTTGGAAGGTTGGTAGTACAGGTAAGGGGTAGAGAAGGATTGTGCAATAATTCAGTTGTATAGGGGCACCTGGGTGGCTCAGTTGCTTGAGCCTCCGACTCTTGGTTTCGGCTCAGGTCATGATCTCAGAGTCCTGGGATCGAGTCCCGTGTCGGGCTCTAGGCTCAGCGGGGAGTCTACTTCTCTGCCTCTCTGTCCCTCTCCCTCTGCTCCTCCTCCTGCTCTAGCGCGCTCTCTCTCTCTCTCTCTCAAATAAGTAAATCTTTTTAAAAAAGGAATTCAGTTGTATAAACTTGAGAGGGTCTCCGTTTCTCCTGGGGGTCATCAGATTTTGGAGCACCCTCTCCAACCACACCTGCCTCAAGGCAGGTGAATCTAATGCCTGATTCTTGACACCAGCAGGGGTAGGGATCCGGGTCCTACCTGTCTGACTCCTTGTACCATGGTCCTCTGACAGTCATCTCTGGGTCCCTCCCCTATCCCATTAGCCACATCAGCTGTTCCCAAGTTGTGCCCACATTTACCATCAACCTGGAGTCTTCCCTGTTTCCAGTGGGCTTTCCTCTTTCAATTTAGTTCCACCTACTTTCAGTCTCTCAAGCGTTCCTCAAAATTTCTCGATCACGGCTTCTTTGTTTTCCAGTGCTGTTAGGGGCTGATTTCTTTTTTTTTTTTATTTACATTTTCTGCTTTATTGAGTTATGAGTGACAAATTTAAAAAGTGTATGTTTAGGTTGTACAATATGCTTTTTTCCCCCAAAGGTGTACAACGTGATGACTTAATATACATATGCATTGTGAAATGGTTACTACAGATTATTAACACATTCATCACCTCACATAGTTACCACTGTTTGTTTGTTTGTTTTGTGGTGAGAACACTTAAGATCTATTCTCTTAGCAAATTGCAAGTATGCAATATGGAATTATTAACTATAATCACCACGTGATTATATATAATACACAGATAATATAATAATATATGTACATATAGATCTAATTTGTATATTAGATCCCCAGAACTTATTCATCTTATAACTGGACATTTGTATTCTTTGACCAGCATCTCCCCATCTCTCACACTCCCCAGCCCCTGGCAATCCCTGTTCTACTCTCTAGTTCTACGAGTTGGATGGTTTTGGATTCCACATACAGATGAGATCATACGGTATTTGTCTTTCTGTGGCTTATTTACTTAGGGTAATGTCTTCCAGGTTCATCCATGTTATTGCAAATGATAGAATTTCCATCTTTTTTATGGCTGAATAATATTCCATCGTGTGTATGTGTGTGTATTTTCTACATTTTCTTTGTCCATTCATTCATGGATGGACACTTTAGTTGTTTCCATCTTGGCTATTGTGAATAATTTTGCAATGAGCATGGGCATGCAGATATCTCTTCTAGATACTGATATTAATTCCTTTGGATATATGCCCAGAAGTGAGATTTTTGGGTCATACGGTAGTTCCATTTTTTTTTTAAAGATTTTATTTATTTATTTGAGAGCGAGAATGAGAGAGAGAGAGAGAGAGCATGAGAGGGGGAGGGTCAGAGGGAGAAGCAGACTCCCTGCCGAGCAGGGAGCCCGATGCGGGACTCGATCCCGGGACTCCAGGATCATGACCTGAGCCGAAGGCAGTCGCTTAGCCAACTGAGCCACCCAGGCGCCCCTACGGTAGTTCCATTTTTAATTTCTTCAGGAACCTACCATAATGGCTGTACCAATGTCCATTACCACCAACAATGTACTGGAGTTCCTTTTTCTCCACACCTTCGCCAACACTTGTTGTCTCATGTCCTTTTGATATAATAGCCATCCTAACAAGTGTGAGGTGATCTCTCATTTTGATTTGCATTTTCCTGGTGGTGAGTGATGTTGAGCCCCTTCTCATATACTTTTGGCCATCTGTACGTCTTCTTTAGAAAAATGTCTATTCAGGTCCTTTGGCCATTTTAAAATCAGATTATTTGGTTTTTGGCTATTGAGTTTTATGAGTTCCTTATATGTTTTGGGTATTAACCTCTTATAAGATGCACGGTTTGCAAAAATCCCAAAGCTCCCGAAAGGGCATTTTTGTCCATGGCTGGCTGGCAAATTATGGTTACTGAGGAGAGATAGGAGTAGGAGACCTCCTGTCCCACCATCTTGCTGATGTTGCAACAGGGACTTATTTTTAGATTTTAAATTTCTAGGATCTGGGGAGGGGGGGGAATGGGGAGGGGGAGGTGGGAGCATGGGCTGCTGTTGGATCCAATCACAATATTGTTTGCATATATCTCCCCCCCCCCCCGCGCCACGTCCCAGTTCAGGCTTCCGCACCTCTCACTGCACCAGAGAGATTTTTCTAAACTCAGACCCATCGAGGCATTCTCCTGGTCAGAGTCCTTCAGGGGCTCCCCACTGACTTCATGATAAGACCCACATCTAGCCTGACAGGTACCACGTCGCTTCCTTCCTCCTGGCTCCTCCCCTCCCTCCTGGCTCCTCCTCTCCCTCCAGCCTTCGGGCCGCGTGTGATTGCACTTGCTGTGGGCTGACTCTCACCTTTCAGTACCCAGGTGGTTGGTCTTTCTCGGGACCTGGGTTGGGTGCCCTGCTCTGTTCCCATAGTTCCCCGTGTGCATCTTTTGGTTGTACCTATGGCCCCGTGTTCCTGTGGGTTATAATCACTTCCCTCTTAGTCTTCCTCACCAGAGTGGGATTTCCCGGTGGGCAGGGGTTCATTCCGAGTGTTTGAAGACTGAAATGATGGATGCCAGGGCTTGGTGGCCAAGGCTGTGGTGGGTACTGCCCTTTCCCCTTAGTCCTGGACCGAGGGTCTCAGTGGACCCCTTACCCAGGAGAATGAGCACCCCCACCCCGCAGCTTTATGGAGGGACCCCTCCTTGGCCAGCATGGCTTTTTGCCGTGCGGTCAGCACCTCAGGAATAGAAGGGCTGACATGACTGTTGCTGTCCCCACAGGCACTGGTGCCATCACACGGTGACGCGGACGGTGTCCTGCCAGGTGCAGAACGGCTCGGAGACAGTGGTCCAGCGTGTGTACCAGAGCTGCCGGTGGCCGGGGCCCTGTGCCAACCTCGTGAGGTAAAGGCTGTGGGGCGGTCCAGCTCTGCCCTTCCTTTTCCTTTCTGTTCCCTTGGGTGAATCCAACCCCAGCACAAGCTGCTGGGGAGGGGGGTTTGACGCTCGGAAACAAGAGCTGAGTGTGCATTTATGGGGCACCTTTTGTGTACAGAGCATGGGGATTATGTGTGGGCAAGATGAAAGGGACGTGCTTCCCACCCTGAAAGAACTTCACAATCCGGTGGTATTTGATGAGCAGAAGAGCACCATAGACAGGAAGTGGGGTGAGGGGACTGAGGGATGGGGGAGGGCCAGGTGAGGCCCCTCTCGGCCCCGCCCACCACGGCCCCTCCCCCTTTACGCCCCGCCCCCCAGCCCTCAGGCTGTTCCTCAGCATTCTCAGGATGATCCCTACTTTTCACAGCTGCCCTTTGCTTTGGGACTGAAGCAGTGATGTGAACAGTGTTCACATCAGACCCATCACATCACATCAAGACCCACTGCAGGGTCTTGATGTCGGTGTGGGTGTTTACAGGCCTCCCGAGAGTTCTCTCCCTCTCCTTGGCATGAGGAGCTCAGAACAGAATGTTTGGTCACAGCAGATACGAATTTGTCCTGAGCCATCCCTTTGTTGAGGAAGACTTAATGCTCATTCTTGAGAGGAATTCCATATCTCTGGTCTCAATTATCATTGCCACTTAAGTGGCTATTATCTGTTAAGGAATGAGGGTTTAATGTACTTTCCTCTCTCTCCAGTAACTCATATACGAGGTAGGGTTGGGGTGCATCTCCTCTGTCTATGGCTGGGCAGGGAGAGGAAGGACAGTAGGGTTCGGCACTGTCCCCAGCTCCCTGGCGACGTGGGGCACCGTGTGCACTCTCGTCCTGGGTCCTGGTTTTGGGGCTTTGCATATACGAGGCACTGTGTTTTGTTTTTTTTTAAAGATTTTTATTTATTTATTGAGAGAGAGAGAGAATGATGGAGAGAGAATATGAGTAGGGAAGAGGGTCAGAGGGAGAAGCAGACTCCCTGCTGAGCAGGGAGCCCGATGCGGGACTCGATCCCGGGACTCCAGGATCATGACCTGAGCCGAAGGCAGTTGCTTAACTGACTGAGCCACCCAGGCGCCCCTAGGCACTGTGTTTGTAGTAGCTGCTCTCTGGTCTTCCCACCTCCCCCATCCCCTCCATGTCCTCTATCAGATCACGGCACTGCTCCAGACCTTCCAGGAGCTTCCATCTCTCTTACAGGACAGTCTCTACCTCCCTCCACAGCCGATCAAAGTCTGGACATGGACCCTGTTTCCCTCCTGACCCCAAGACCCTCCGCGAGCCGCCCTGGTCCTGGGGCTGTGGCCACACGGACCTTGCTGGCCTGGAGACTCCGTCCTTCCTCGGGGCCTTCACGTTTGCTGGTCCTTCTGCCTGGCCTGGTTTCATGCCGGGAATAGCTGCATCTCCTGACCTAATTCAGTGCCTTTCCTCCCTGACACTCTGTCGCTTTCCAGGGGGCCACAGGAGGGCAGGAATTGCTTCGATCTCTCCTGTGCCCCTCTTCCCCCCGTGCCTTGCATTCAGGAGCTCAAGAGATACTATTGAACTGATGGCTCAGTATCAGGAGGATGAAAGGAGATCCAAGAGGTCAGAGCACTTTGAATTCACGCACAGGGTGAACCGTGAATACTGCACTTCACTCTCGCAGAGAGCCCTCGTCTTATAAACTAATCCGTACACTTGCAGTCGGGAGTCTGACGCTCAGAGCAAAGTGACTTGCTCAACGTCAAAAGATTTGTCACAGGGATGAGGTCGGGTGCGACTCTGGCCCATCAAACAGGCCCCATAGGGATGCGCCTGAGGTTTCATGGCCCGGCTCCCTTTCTCCCCCAAATAAATATGTGTTGACCTCCTCCTGTATCCACGCTCTGGGGAGGCCTCCTGTCCTCTGTGAGAACCCAGACCAGGCCCCAGCTCGGGGAGCTGATGACCCAGGTGGGGGAAGCGAGAGCGTGGTTGTGAAAACTTTGAGGTCCTATTCAGAATGCACTCGGGGACTGGCATGGTTCCCCACCCTCTCCCCCCAGGAGCCCCACACAGACCTCTTTGCTTGCGTTTATTCTTTGACTCAACCCTTTCTGCAAATATTCATTGAAGGCCCTACTATGTGCCAGAGGGGAATATGATGGAGAGTAAGACCAAGTCCTCTTCCTCATGGGGTTTGTATTCACCTACATACGAAAACGAGAAAAAATATCGCCTCATAATGAGTGTAGGAAATTAAGATAGGGGTGATGTGACTGGGCATGAATTGGGGCTACTTTAGAGCAGGCACGAGAGAGACCCTGAAAGGATGATGTTGATGCTGAGCAAAGAGTGAGGAGAAAGAGCCTCCATGTGATGATTGGGTGAGGATAGTTGGTGCAAAGGCCCTGAGGCAGGGAGGTCCTAGATGAAGGCACAGAGAGTAAGTCAGTGTCCAGAAGCAGAGCAGGTGAGGAGGGGAGTATAGGCCAGAGACTGATTTCCAGGGCCTTAAGTTTGGACTTTTTATTTTTATTTTTTTAAATTAAAAAAATTTTTAAAAAATTTTTTAAATTTTTTAAATTATTTTTTTAAGTATGGATTTTATGTCAGTGTACTGGGAAGCCACTGAGAGTTTTAAGTAGAGATGAGAAATGATCCGATTTAGGTTTCTTTTTGATTAGCTTTTTATTCTGAGAGCATTGTTGATTCACACACAGTTGTAAGAAAAAAGACAGAGAGATTCCATGTGTCCTCTTTCTTTTTTGGATCCCATGTACTGTTCATCTTCTTCCCCCCAATGGTGCCATCTTGCCAAACTATACAATATGTCACAACCAGAGTATTGAGATATTGACATTGATACAGTCAAGATACAGAATATTTTCTGTACATCACGACCCCATATATTGCCCTTCTGAAGACACACCCACTTTCCTCCTGCCCCCAAGCTCCCCAAAACCCCTGGTAACCACTAATCTGTTCTCCACTCTTAAAGTGTTGTCATTTCAAGAATGGAATCACACAGTAGGTAACCTTACGGGAGCGGATCTTTTCCCTCACCATGATTTTCTGGAGAGTCATCCCCTGCTGTTGGGTGTATGAGCAGTTTGTTCCTTTTTATGGCTGAGTAGTGTTCCACGGTGCGGATGTCCCACAGTTAGTTTAACCATTTAGCTGTTGAAAGACATCTCGGTTGTTTCCAGTTTGGGGCTATTCTGAATAAAACTGTCATCAACATTTGGGTACCTTCAGATTTTTGCATGAATACAGGATTTCATTTCTCTGCGTAAATGCCCATGAGTGGTTGAAGATTTTCTCCTATTTTTTTTCTAAAAGTTTTATAGTTTTAGGAAGTCCATGATCTATTTTGAGTTAATTTTTGTGCAAGGTGTGACATTTAAGGCAAGATTCTTTTTTTTTTTTTTTTATCTGTGGATATCCAATTGCTCTGGCATCATTGTTGAAAAGGCCATCCTTCCTTTCTTGAACTGCTTTTGCATGTTTGTCAAAAACCATTTGGGCATATTTGTGCTGGTCTAAGTTCTCTGTCTTGTTCCATTGATAACATGCGTCCACGGTTCTGCCAATATCACTAGGCCTTGCTTGCTGAAGCTATATAATAAGTCTTGAAATTGGATAGACTGATCTGAAATAGATCAGATAGAATGAGTTAGGATGTGCTCCCTCCTTCTGCATTTTTCTGGAAGAGATTGTGTAGAATTGGTATTAATTCCTCTTAAAAGTTTGGTAAAATTCTCCAGTGAAAACATCTGGGGCTGGAGAATTCTTTTGAAGGAGTTTTTAAGCTACAAGTTTAATTTCCTTAATAGTTATGGGGCTATTCAAATGATCTATTTCAGATTCAGTGAGTTGGGTGACTAGTGTTTTTCGATGACTTGGTCCATTTCCTCTCAGCTGTTAAATTTATGTGCATAGGCCTACTACCTATTTTATTCCTGGTATTGATAACTCGTGCCTTTTCTTCTTTTTCCTTTGTCAGTCTTGCTAGAGCTTTGTCGTTTCACAGGTCTTTTCTGAGAACCAGCTTTTGGTTTCATTGATTTTTCTCTAATGTTTTTCTGTTTTCAATTTCATTGATTTCTGCTCTTATCTGCTCCTATCTCTACTCTGTCCTTCCTTCTGCTGGCTTAGAAGTATTATTCTCTCCTTTTTGGAGGTTCCCAGGATGGGCTGGTTTAGGCTTTGAAAGATCGCTGGCTGCCATGGGGACAGTGGGCACGGGCAGGTGCAAGGTGATGGTGGCTCACGCCAGGACACTACCTGGGAAATGGGGAGAAGTGGGTGAATTCAGGAGGTGTCTGGAAGCTGAGATGACAAGAGTCTGATCACAGAAGAGCAGGGAGCAATCACAGATAACCCTAAATGTTTGGTTTGAGCGGCTGGTTGGCTGGGCGTGTCCTTCATTAGGTTGGGGACCCCCAGTGGTGTCAGCCCTCGGAGGTGGAAACCAGCAGCTCTGTTCTGGCGAAGTGAAGTTGGAGATGCCTGTGGACGCATCCGTGAGAGGAGAGGATGCAAGTAAGAGGTCAAGTGAAAACGTCTGGAGTACCGGGAAGATTCCAGGGCTCAGGGCATATTGCATTTCATGGACTCTATGACGCCATTGGCAGGAAGAAGTACATTATCTTACGATCCCTAAGAATTCAGCCAATTAAATGATCGCACACCATCAACTGTAGTATGAACCCCATTGTCCCCGATGTTAAACTGTAACAATGTGGGCAAGTTGGAACCTGGGAGAGGTCATGTGACCGAGGATCAGGAGCATGCAGACTGTGTTTGAGGCTGCGGGACTGGAGGTGGCCTTGGGGATGACTAGATGGAGAAGGGGTGCTGATCCCCAAACCATCTGGGCACCCCGACCTCAGAGGCAGGGCCAAAGAGGAGGGGGTGGCTGAAGTGGTGAGAAGGAGCTCCCGAGGCAGGAGGAGCATCCGCATGTCCCGGGAGGTGAGTTTCGGGACAGAGGGCATGAGGCA